GCCTCTCTCTGTTATCTGCTTCACCCCCCATTCACCTCCTCCAAGGTTGAGACACCATAGTTGATCTTGGTGCTTAAGTCTCCGGGATTCTCATGAGGCATATATGAGGCTTGTCCTCAGGGTGCTCTCAGATTTCCACAGTTATGTGTACAATCAAGAGTGCACATTGTCTACTGAGATAATACAGGTCGTGCATCAGGTTCTCAAATGTTCTAAAGTGACCAAAAATGAATTGTTGACCAAGGCTCCTTCAACATCATTTGTCTTTCTTGTATTGTGATGCTGGGGATTGAACCCAGGGCTTTGACACTCCAGACAAATACATGTCTCTGAACCACACCACCGCCCCAGAGAGCATCTTTGCCTTGCTTCACTTCTCTGCTTATTGTCTGACTCTAGCCCAACACTGCTTCTCTGACCCTCAAATTTCCATCCTCCCTTTGTTGTTGATGTTCTTGAGTTCACACCTATGATGCTCTTTCTTTATCTTCTGTTCACACACTAACACAGGGTCTCTCTTACCTTATTCTGCTGAAATTGTTCTATTAGAAATGACCTATGCTTGCTTACCACATCCCTCAATCCTTGCTTATTCTCTTTCCCTCTTTTCTTTATCACTTGGGATTGTTGCCCTGATCTTGTAACTCCGCCACCGCCTGGTCATTTGAACTTCTGGACTCCCTGCTCCTTTGCTGTCTCTTCTTTTGCCCATCGAGGACTTCTGTGACTTCCTGTCATGGGGTCCCTTGTCTTTGTTTATTCTCTTTGTCTATCTCATCCAGATGGAGATGTTTGCAGTTACGCCTGTTTCTTGGAACTGAGACTCGTTTTTTTGTTGGGTTTTTTTTGTTGTTGTTTTTTTGTAGATGCTATCCACTGGGACATTCAAGCACACTTCCAACATCCCCTAAAGCAAACTCATCCTTTTGTTTGTAGCTCTCTTACATTTGTCCATGAATAAAACTGCCAGGCTTTGCTAGTCAGGTACCAAGTCCAAGTCATCCTAGACTCATTGGCTTTCAAAATTTCTTCTTTGTATCCAAGACCCAGACTCAGTACCTTGCTTTCCACATAGCCCCTTCTCTTGCTGCCACACCAAGTCGCCCTCTTGTCGCTTCCATTAGATCTGTTGCATCTGCTTTCATTTTGTGCTCCATTCTCCACCCTCCTCGACTACCATCAGTCGCTTTTGATAAGTGGTATTTGGTAAACACCTCTGGAGTCACTTCGCGAAAACACGTATACTCTGCTATTCATTTTAATACAGGTAAGCTTCGAGCAATTATCATTTGAATTCACGTACATAAATGCTTAGTTCATGGGGGTGGTTTCAAACCAAATCCCTAGGGTCATATTTATTCATGCACTTTGTTCTTTCAGCTAAAACTGATTATTTTTTCTTGAAAGTTTAGGGTTAAGTAACAGTATTTCAAGCAGTCTGATGTTGGGAGTGGTAAACCTGCTTTACCAGAGTCCCATGGAAGACACAAAGGCTTCTCTTAGCCATCCATGACGTCACACCAGATGCTCAGAGTCTCTCCAAGAAACAGCTCGCTCAGAAGTGGCAACTAGGTGGAGTTGGACCACAAATGTATGGGAAAGGGTATATAAAACCGATCATAAAGGGTAGGAAGGACTGTTTCTAGAACTCAGCAAGAAGAGTATGAAGGGCAGGGCATGTGTTAGAAACAGTGACCTTCTGTGGATGAGAAAGGTCACTGTGTTTCCAGCCTGGGAAGCGGAAACCTAGAGAAATGAATCTTCTGCATTGCTTTTCCCTTCGGCCCTCTGGCTGGTGCGCATCAAAGGGCAAACCCAAGAAACAGCTAAAAGCAGGGGGATCTGGCCAGTCCAGGTGCTTGGGATTCGGAAGGGGCTGGGGGAGGAAGAGTCCTTCACTGTGGGATGAAGTGGGGAACACCTAGAACTTCGTGTCCCCTCTGATCCCTGAATATCACTCTTCAGGCCCCGAGTTTCTCATGTCTAAAGCTACTGGTCTTGCTCAGCAGCCATGACTGTATCTGAGCCATGAGAATCTTTGCCTCTGGGTGATGCAGGGGTATAATGCCTTTCCTCCCTCTTGTCTCTCCCGTGCCATCTCCGCACCAGAAAGCCTTCCTCCCCTCACCTCTCCGGTCTCCACCACCCTTTTCATGCTGTAGTAAAGTTACTGGGTGGAATACAGGCACTATCAAGCCCAACTAAATTACATGCTACTTTTAATTAACGACAGCACAGCTTAAAATTTACATCAGTTAATGTTATGAAACCAGTAAGAACTTTATAATGGGAAAGCTGGCTTCATTTCGGAAGCAAATGCTGTTGAAGTGATGGGTGCATTTTCTTGGACCAGCATGCAGAACTCTCCCTCTCCTTTGAGAGTCTAACCTGAGGTCTACGGAAAGACTTAGTGGCGAAACCCTTAATGGTCTGACCCTTCTTAGCGTTACCTTACATTCTCCTCTCCTCATTTCGGCTCTGGACTGCTATCTCCACTCATATCTCCCACAGGTCTATCAGTTGGCCCCAGAGAAGATGAGAAATCAGGGCTTGGGGTGATGTTGATGACAAACACTGAGGTAGCCTCTACCCAGCTGGGGAAGGTCAATAAAATGAGAAAGTTGAAGAAAATAGAGCATGAAAGGCAACTTTCAAAGTCAGTCACAGGCCTACCCAAGAGTGTAGACACTGGTTCGTCGATGAGTGGAAAGGTCACACATTCAGAATAACTGCGTGACACAAATTGGCTTTGATGTGGAAAAGGAGGACACAAGTTCAATAGGAATGGAAACGGGTTGAATTCAGGAGGAATTAGGTAAAAATGATCAAAATCCATTGCATGAAATTCTCAAAGAACTAATAAAATTAGTCGGGATGTGGTCCAGGAAGCGTGTGGGGGTTAGCTGAAGCTCTGCAGCACAGCCCCAAGGGCAAAGCAAGCCTGTGAAGGTTGAATAAGGAGTTGTTCAAGAGCCTGGGATCTACAGAATCTAAAACAAACTGAAATCAATAGAGCTTTTCCTTGGCAACCTATAAATAGTTTTCTGACATCAGTCTTTTGCCTAATATCTTGGGAAACTATTTCAGCAGCTCTCCTTGACAAATCTCCCTGCTTCACTGCTGCCCTGTAGATAGGCATAGATCAGCAATAAGCCCATCACACAGGTGGTGTTGGGGGGGGTGTGCCCACAGGACATGTTCTTGTTGCCTTCACTATACACCCATGTGCACGCAGGAGGGGAGGTGGCCCCATCACTGGAGAACCTTAGACTTTATAGCAGTGACCAGCTCCAGCAAGCATTCCAAAGTAAATGGGAAATTCTGAGTTTCGACAGCACATAGGGTGATTTTTCTGACATTACAACAGAAAGAAGTTATCTTAGTCAGTATCGCTTAGTCAGTCTTCTATCGCTGTGAAGAGACACCATGACCACGGAAACTCTTATAAAGGGGAACATTTAATTGGTGCTGCTCACAGGTTCAGAAGTTTAGCCTGTTATCGTCATGGTAAGAAGGATGGCAGCACTCAGGCAAACGTGACACTGGAGAAGGAGCTAAGAGTTCTACATCTGAATCTGCAGGCAGCAGGAAGAGAGAGTGACACTGGGCCTGGCTTGAGCTTCTGAAACTTCAAACCCATCCCCAGTGATACACTTCCACTGACAAACCACACATATTCTAACAAGGCAATGGGTTCTAAACCTCTCAAATAATGCCACTCCCTATGAGCCCATGGAGGACATTTTCATTCAAACTACCATTTAAGTCTTTTGTTAAAGAAAACTGGCCCATCAAATGGTCATCTGTCTCCATTCCTCCTTTTAGTCCTGTGACCCACTATCCCTGATCCTGGGAATAAATGGATTTTGTCAATTTTGTTGTACCCAAACACATACAAAATTTAAACAACTCATTTTTCATGTTTTCCTCATGTGGCTGATTTGGTCACAAGAACTGTCTGATTGACCTGTCCATTGGTGAGGTCACAAGAACTAAAGAGAGCCCAGCTTCACAAGTACAGTCCTGTAAGAAGATGGCTAAGTACTGTACAAATTCCATCTCTTCAATGTTAAATCCATATTTCTTTCCCGTGTGTTCAGTACACCTATATTTTGTTATCTGAGTATGTTCTTCCTGAAAGTTACATCTGCCTATATCTCAGAACATTTTTGAATACCAAATGAGTGAAGACATGTTGTTCCAGGGCAGATGGATACAACTTGTATATGTGCATGTGTTTCATGACAATCGTGTAGAGGATTGGGGCCCACATGTGTGAGCTCGTTTGCTCTTTCCACAGTGTGAGTTCTGGGGAGCAAACTCAAGCCATTAGCCTTTGTGGCAAGTTCCTTTACCCACTGATCATATCACAATCTCCTTCATTCATGATTAAAAGAGAATCAACCATATAAGCCAAACACACATCAGTAGTATCTAAATCCCACAAGACCATAGATTACAAATAGAAGATGATCCTCAATTCACCTGCTGAGACTGGATACCCGTTCTCTCTCAACCTGATTTAACTTGGTCTTCCAGTCTTTGAGATTCCCCTTTCACTGCCTGAGAAAGCATTTGGATAGTTTTCTCTTGCTACTGTTCAGTGAGTTTGACAATGATGCCTGTGTTCCAGTTACATGAACACAACCAAGGCATCTGTCTTAGCTCAGTTGAATAGAGCAGCATTCATTCTTCTGCCTAGCCACGGGCTCTGGCAATCTCAGCCTGCCAGGCATCTCATAGCTCATGTAGTTACTTGAGAAAATGAAAGCACAAGGAGGGCTTTCCAAACCATTTGAGGTTGAGGAGTAGGGATCATACTCACCAGAGGAGCAGGGATATGCTATCACTTTCAAAATAGGGTCCCATGCCATACTCTAGCAATAGGGCTTTAAAACATGCTTAAGATTTTGAAAAACTCTTGTCTCTGCATGTCCTCAAACCCAACACCATTCCCACGCCTTATTTCCCAAATAAGAACAAACATAAAAACAACTTACTGTAAACTGGATTTGGCAGCCACCCATGATGTAGTCCAAGAAGGAATGCATCTTGTGGATCTACATGGGAGAGGCCTGGATTAGTAACAGCATGATCTCTTTCCCTACAGACTGAAGGTGTGGGCTGCTGTGGTGGTGTGAATAGGTATGCCTCCCCCCGCCCCCGTAGAATAGTGTTCTGAATGTTTAGCCTACAGGGAGTGGCACCGTTAGGAGGTGTGGCCTTGTTGCATGGCCTTGCTGGAAGAAGTGTGTCACTGAGGTCTTGTGTTCAAGCTCTGCTCAGTGCAGAACATAGTTCACTTCCTGTTGCCTGCAGATCAAGATGTAGAATGCTCAGCTTCATCTCTAGAACCATGTCTGCCTGCATGCCACCATGAGGATAATGGACTAAACCTCTGAAGCTGTAAACCAGACCCCAATTACATGTTTTCCTTTGTGAGAGTTGCTGTGGTCAGAGTGTTTCTTCATAGCAATAGAAATCCTAACTAAGACATTTGCCAGGCCAAGAAAAGGAATAAACAGATATCTGTGGAGGGTTCTTCAATGTCCATACAGATGAGCCCCGGACATCTGCAGATTCCCACCCTCTGCTCCCCTTTATTTGGGCTTATTTATTGCTTTAATTGACAACTCCCTTTGGGCTGAGCCCTAAAGCATGTTTTCAAGGCTCATTGCTATTTTAGAATAAGGAATGCCTCCTACTTAGTCACTCTTCCCACCATTTGAGTATCTTTCCTGAGCACTGCCCTGTGCATAGAAGGGCCTGAGCTATAGCCTAAACTTTGCTGTTATTTTGGGGCAAGACTGTCTCTGGGAAGGGGAAGGTAGCATTGGGCTGTCACAGCTCTTAGGCCATTCATACTCATATTTCATTTCCTTTGTCTGGTGCTACATTGATTTTATGAATTTTGTCTTAGAGAAGGTCATTGTCTTGTGAAACTTCTTCCCATTTGATCACATGACTTGAACTTCTCCCCCAAGACTACTCTAGCATTGTGCTCCTGGCAGAGAGGGGATTACACATACATACCTTACACTGATTCAGAATCACCATGCCTGAGTTCTTATAATTCTTCTTCTTGGCCTTGTATTTGGGGTTGATGCATTCCCACTGTACCTACAGCATAAAGGGTCACATGTGAGTGCCTTCAAGAAGAAGTCAAGTCTTTCAGTGAGGTCAAGCTTCTGGGGGTATACATATGAAATTGGATAGCTGGAAAGTGGCCCCGAGGTGGTAAATCTGGCATTCCAGAAAACGGCAAGGGAGAGCAATTGACAGAGACATAGGTGTCTGGTGCAAATCTCATGCCTTCATTTTCCAGCTATGAGTTCTATCCTGGGTTGTTTGACTCCTCTGTGCCTTGGATTTCTCTTCTTTATAACTGAGTTCACGGTCCCTCAGTTCTCAGCATTTCCCTTGACTCTGACCCCAGAGGATACTTCATGAAGGACAGAATCAAAGCCTTGGGAAGGACCGAGAACTGAGGAATTCACTGGTAACTGTCTAGAACAATTTTCAGCTCTTCCAGACTACAGAAGATTTCATGAGACAGAAGTAATTGAGAATCAAACACTCAGCATTCACTGGACATTTCCATTCATGGTCCTGAAGGAGATCGACCCTGAGGCTTTCACTTGGGATACAAAAGTTTATTCCTGACAATCAAAAAGAAGCAGCTTGGAGGAAGACATAGCCGGCTAGACTGACACTCCATTGGCCTCCAATGGCCTCAGTGCCCATGCACTGGTTAAATGACTTGTTTTGGCCAATGGGACACTAAAAATGTTGTGAGAATAGAAAAAACACAAAACTGCCTTTTATTGCTTGTAAGTTTTGATTTGCCACTTTGTAAAAAAAATGCATACATTGCAGGATAAAATCACCACCACCACCTCTGCTTCTGGTGCTGTCACCACTGCAACCACCACCACCAACATAACAACAACAAAAAACAGACATCACATGGAGAGCTTCACCAGCCATCTCTGCCGCTTATGCACAAAAGCATGAGAGTGTCCTGGCATCAAAGGAGGCACTATCCTAGGTTGTAGTAGGAAGAGGGAGCTTGTTTGTTCCTGGCTGCTCAGCTCCGAAATAACCACACAGAAACTGTATTAATTAAATCACTGCTTGGCCCATTAGCGCTAGCTTCTTATTGACTAACTCTTACATGTTAATTTAACCCATTTCTATTAATCTGTGTATTGCCGCATGGTTGTGGCTTACCAGGTAAAGTTCTGGTGTCTGTTTCTGGCAGGGCTACATGGCTTCTCCCTGACTCCACCTCCTTTCTCCCAGCATTCAGCTTAGTTTTTCCCACCTAGCTCTACTCTACCCTATCACAGGCCAAAGACAGTTTCTTTATTAACCAATAGTATTCACAGCATACAGAGGGGAATCCCACATTACTGGGTGAACCAGACAAAATTGCCAACCAAGAAAATGTGAAGTAATAATGTCTGTTTTCAGGTAGGAAGTTAGTGGGCAATTAATTACTCAGCATCAGATAACAGTAGCACCTTACCACCCAGGAGGCCCAGATGTGACTCTGAACCACTTCCCTGGTGACTCCGAGACTCACACGTCAGTATTATCACTCTGAGGACCCTCTCTCTCCAGCAGGGTCCTGGAGGTGCCCTCCTATTTGGTGTTGCAAAACTTTCCCTTGAACTCTTCAAAATAAAGATGCTTATGAGATACTCAAGAATTAATGAAGATTAGTTAAGAAATTACCCTGTTCTCTCAGCATGCTGACCCAGGCAAGGAAAGGGAAGGTGAACAATGGGCTCCTCTTTTCCCCTCTGGTGTAGACTCTGGGTCCTCAGGTTCAAGGCTTCCACTCTCCTGTCTGTCTGCTCTCCCTATTTACTCACCATCTTCACTCAGTCTTAACCCTTTCTCTTTCATGGCACTTAAGACATCTTTTCAGATAAGCAATCCTCTAGGGTAGTTCCTCTAAAACCTGATTCTCTGACTGTCTTCTTAACCAACTGGACCTCCCTTCTACAAAACTTCCCTTCTCAGGATCACTGCCTCATCCTTTCCCTTCCTTCCATTCCCCATCTCTCAACAAATCTTACAGTTCTTAAATCTTACTACTTTCATCTCTGTTGAGTGCCAAGTTATCTAGGTTATTATCACATCTTGTCCTACTATGGTAGTGGCTGCCTAACCAGGTACTTCCTCTTTTCTCTGAAAATGCTTATACACCAGTCAAAGCCCCCCGCCCCGTGTGTGTATATGGGTGCACATGTATGTACAGACCAGAGACCCATCTCAGGTGTTGATATTCACGAGTTATTCACCTTTTCTTTTGATATATGATCATTTATTGGCCTAGCTCTCCAGGTAGGCTAGGCTGGCCAGCCAGTAAGCCTCAGCTACCCTTCTGTCTTCACCTCCCTAGTGCAGAGCATGCCACCATGCCTGACTTTCTAACATGGGCTCTGGCGATCAAACTCAGGCCTTGATGCTTATACAGAGATCATTCTACCACTTTAGGATATGGTGAGCTATTGCCCCACAACAGTGAATCCCATCCTTTAGCAAATTCAAACCAGTTTGATCTTGTCCAGCATCACCCAATGAAACTTTCTGCATTGATGGAGATACCCCATGCCCTCATCGTCCAATATGACAGCCACCAGTTGCAGGATGCTACTAAGCACTCGGAGTGTGGCTAATATGACTGACAGGTGGACCCAACAGCATAGTCACCTGTGGTTGCTGGCCACTGTACTGCAGATCACGGTTTGAAGGTGGCCTCTTAGCATTCAGGTGATGCTATTAGAGCCAGTTCGTTCTGACCTCTGCTGTGCTGACCACACACAAGGTCACCTCATCCTCTTTGCACCCATTATACTGGCCCCTTTGCATGTCCTCGAGCACACCAAGCTCTTTCCTACCTCAGTACCTCAAAGCATTCTTCTCTCTGTCTGAATTGCTTTTCCCTTACTCATGGGCTTCTTATTTTTAAAGGGTCTGAAACTAAATGTTACCTTTTACCTTGTAACTCATTTTGTAACTAAACTGTTTTCATCTTATTTTTTAAAAAAATCACATATATCTGTCTGTCTGTCTGTCTGTCTGCCTATTTTAATACGTGTGTGTGTGTGTTTCTGGGTATGTATATATATGCACATGTGAATGATCCACGCACATCTGTATGTCAGAGGATGATTTATAGGAGTTGGTTCTCTCCTTCTACTTTTTGGATCCCATGGATCAAGCTCAGGCCGTTAGGCTTGGTAGCAAGTACGTTTACTGGAGGAGCCAGCTTCTCAGTCCTGTCTTTCTTTTTTTAAATAATACCCTTCACAAGTTGTAAATGTCTTTTAGGTTTTTGTTTATTTGGTTCATATTTAGACTCTACTTTGGCTCCCATCAGTCTGTTAGCTTCAGGAGAGAAGAAACAATGTTGGCATGGCTGGTCACTGCCCACCTAGAGCCGGGCACAGCAGATGTAAAATCACCAAAGAAAAGAATTGCCCCTGCCATATAAAGTGTCAGCACAGGCGCAGAGCCTTGAGGTAGAATCAAATTCTCCTGGTATCTCTGGGATAGAGAAAAGTACAGTGGTTTGCATTTCATGGCCTCCTTGGGAGTTACAGATTTATCTCTGTTTATCTGGAAGCGTCTAGACTTGGTGGTCTTCAGTCATGATGAATGTTAGAATTCTACTTTCAATGGCCTCTTAGGAACCTAAAGATGAAATGTTTCCCCTATTTATTGATTTGACTGTTTCTGTTTATAGAGGAGAGTAAGATGCAGCTTTATGAGACACTTCGGAGCTGCAGCAGGTGGTGTTGGTAAGCTGGCATTGACTTATTAGCTCTATAGGGCCTGACTCTGTACATTTATTGCAGCAGCAGTTTCTCTAGCTGTGTTCCTTATTATCCAGGGAGTAACAGCTTATCATTTAGTGTTGACTTTAATTGTGGCCCTTGGGAAAGTAATGCTACTTTTCCAAGATTGCATAGCTAAAGGAATAGACATTTATTCATTGAACCACTTAATGAACTGAAATAGAGAAACTTCTATTTCAAGGTGATGTCTTGACAAGGTCACAGAATGGTTTTCATTAGGATTGTTCTAGAATCATATCCCACAATCCTCCATTTCCATCATACTCAATCATGGAAGATTTGCCTTTAGCATTTCCAATTATTTTTTTGGTTGTTTTTCGAGACAGGGTTTCTCTGTAGCTTTGGAGTCTATCCTGAAAGTAGCTTTTGTAGACCAGGTTGGCCTTGAACTCACAGAGACCCGCCTACCTCTGCCTCCCAAGTGCTGGGATAAAGGTGTGTGCTACCACCATCTGGCTAGCATTTCCATTTTTAGCTAAAGGTGCATCCTAGGGAGTGTCTGGGGTAACCACTTACCTGTTTCCCTTCCATGGCTCCTCTCATCTCCTTGAAGGTGGAGGTGAATTCTCCGATAAAGTCATGCTTGCCATTGGAGTCCCAATCCCACACTATGCACTGCAAGACAAAAGGATGATTTTTTTCCTTCAAGATTTTTATCACAGCAGTTACAGGCAGAGTGAATGTTATGAGGAGGAGTATATCAAAGCTGTTTGCTCTGTAATAAAAGCTTGATGTAATATCCCTTTGGTTTCTGTAGCACATTACTTGTCTTTGTTAGTGACAACATCAGTCACTGCTAACCTAGCAGTGTTTTCAGAAGCCAGTAGGACCCAGAGGAGAAAGTTGTGACCGGCTAGGTCTGTCTTGAAGGTAGTTGTCCAGCCTTGATTATGATTAAAAAAAAATTTAAGACCATCACAGATGATCTCTGGTTTACAGCTGGAGAACATATCTGAGTTCATGGATTTACAGCTTTCAGAACAGTAGTCTGTTAGTGATTTTGATTGAATGGCATTATTCTTATTTTTTTCTATTTTGTTGCTGATAAAAGTAAATGCCAACAAAAGCAAATGAAAAGGTCAAAAAGTGAAAGCTTTCATGGCACCTTCAGGAGAAAAGGATGGATAGTGGTGACCAATAAATAAACCACACTGTTAAATATCACACATCCATCACCCAGTTGTGGCTGCTCACATCTAACAAGAGAGATCCATCTACCACTGTTACGATTAGATTCTGAGTGTCCTAGCAATCCTTCCTATAGTGACCAGATTAAGTCAAAAAGCTTTCTGGTTGTCTTCATCGCTAGATAATTAGGAACAAAGGAATATGTCCTATCCCCAGATACAGTCTTATACATTTAATTTTTTGTTAAGATCAATTGCACCTACATCCATGTAGTTACTACAAACTGAAAATGGCCTCCATTCCCAGTATCTGTCTTTACCCTCCCACGTCACACACTGGTTCTCTCAATGCTACCTGCTACACATTGCTTGGCTCCACTCCTTCTCTTTTCTATATTTCTTAACCTGTTACTACAATGGCCACCCAGGTGGTCTCCTGGCCTTCCCTGTATTTCTCTCTCCTCATGATCTATTAATTATGTTAGTTACCTCATTTGAGTAAAAATGAGTATCAGCTGATAGGTCTTCCAAGACTTTCCATGATCTTTTTGCCATCAGTATTTCCAAATTTACCCCTTATAGTCCATGCTTATGATATTTTAAAACTAACTTTTTAAACAATAAAAAGTGATGTGGGTGGAAATGTAAAACACTTCTTTTGCAAAGACTTTAATTTTTCTGTTTGAGGCATTGTGAAAAAACTAATTTCCCAGCTTCTCTCTCCTTAAGCATGGAGGATTTGTTAGATAATCCTTTTGCTTAGAAAATATTAATAATACTTTCCGTGAAGAAAGAATGTATCAGTGCAGATCAGAATGGATGAGGTGAGGAAGTAAATTACTTTGCTGAAACAGTAAGGACAGTCTTAATTTTTCTCTGATAACTAGAGACCCAGGGGTGAGGGCTGGAAATAAGCCCAGCAGTTTCTATCAGAAGGCTGAAGATGGCCCTCTGCATTGGGACTCAAGTGTGTTCTGAGACCCAGGCATTGAGGCCCCATGTTTGGTCTCCACCCTGAGTCACCAGTAAAACATGGTGTAACCTTCAGGAGGTTGGGCTGAGAAGAAGGCTATGTGACTGGGCTGTGCCCTGGAAGTAAATATTAGGACGTGCATTAGTTATTTTTTTGTTGCTTTGATAAAGCACTATGACCCAAAGTGACTTATTTTGACTTATAGTTCCCGAGGGAGAGTCTGTAAAGGTGGGAGACATGACAGAAGGTGGGCACGGCTGTTGGAGCAGGAAGCTGAGAGAGCACATATTTATTATCACACACGAAACAGAGGGCAAACTGAAACCAGGGCAAGACTATCTACTATTAAAGCTGCTCCCCAGTGATGTACTTCCTCCAACAAGATTCCACTTTCTAAAAGCTCCACAACCTCCCGAAACAGTGTCACCAACCAGAGATCAAGCATTCAAATATGTGAACCAATTGGAAACATTTTTCGTTCAAACACAAGACCCTGGACCCTCTTCTCCTCTTTTTGTTTCCCAGCCACCTTGATGAACAGGTCTCCTTGGTCATTTGCTCTCACCATGTATTCTGCTTTGACTTGGACCCAAAAGCCATGGGCCTACTGACCATGTACTGCAGCCACCAGAACTGCAAGTTAAAAGCAATCTCTTCTCTTACTGAGTTGACAATTTCAGGTATTTTTGTCATAATAACAGAATGCTGACTAACAGACAGAGTCAGCAAATGAGGTGGAAGGTGGTAAAACAAGCAAGCAAACAAATAAAACAAACAAACAAACAAACAAACAGAAAACCCACAAAACTTTGGAAACAATGATGTCTGATTCGATTCCCTAGTGTTGCCACCACATTTTGTCTCCTGCCAACCCTGAGACTTCTGTCAGAGTTCTGCCCCCACAACACTGTGTTGATGGTTACTTGTAGAATAAACAGTGAGTGCCATGTTCATGTCCTGGGGTCATACCAGAACACAGAATGAGATAGAAGGGGACATACCAGAAAGCAGTGACCGAGAACCGAGTGGATATCAGGAGTGTGGAGCTGGGGTTGGCAGGTGAATTCGAGGAGTGGAAAACCACAAAAGTACTGTAGACGTCACTGACTTGTGTGGTGACATAGATTTTAGTTCTTGAGTGTATTACTGTGTGTTTGTATATATACATATTTCTGTATATGTTGCATAGATATGCGTGTGGACATGCATGCATACATGTAAGCCAGAGGTCAGCAATGGTGTCTTCTAATAACATTCTGCCTTAATTGAGGGAGTCTCTCTCATTGAACTCAGGTCTTGTCTATCTGGCTATACTGGCTGGCCAGCAAGTCCGAGGTATCCCTCTGTCTCTCCAGTACTAGTATTATAAATACACATTGCCACACCCAGATTTCTAGACATAGGTGCTAGTATCAAACTTGGGTCCTTATGAATACATGGCAAACACTTCATAGAATCAGCTGTCTCCCCAACCTCTCATTTTTTTCCTTAGAGTTTATTATTGAAACATATTATAAACATGTAAGATATTATAAAAACCATAATAAAAACATTTAGAAATCACTTAAATTTTATATATGACTATTATAAACAGTTAAGTGGAATTGTTCTTTGAGAAGCCCACATCCATAATCTCTGTGTGTTTTATTCTTTCTTTGAGTGCCTTTCTTTTCTATTTTCAAATAAACCCTAATTCTGCTTCAAAACAAAAACCACCACCACAACAAAAAATAGAAGCCCACAAAGAGAAGGGAAAATCTGCTAAAAAATAATGTTTTAAAAATTTATACTATGTTTTGTCTTTCAGTTTCCTCAGTTGACAAATGATAAAGTGAATTACTACCACAGGAAATTGAAGATTCTCTTAATTAAAGAAAAAAATGACTCTCTCATGTCTGAAGCTTGCCTCTGGTGCTGTGAGTTTACCATTCCCTCCCAGTCACAGAAGAAGGCTATATTCCTCTTCTCCTCTAGGGCTTGGGAATGGTCATAGGACCTGTGCTAGGTGATGAACTACAAGGAAAACTTTTAAACACCTTCAGAAGGAAGCATGAGGAACCAGAATGTGTTTTCATGTTTTCTCTCTGTCTGTGCCTTGGTGATCAACACCATAGTAGCTGTTGTGTTGGCCACAACAGATATTAACCAAGTCATTGCTTAGTCTCCTGTCCAACATTCCCTCCTGGCTATCCTAAGGTAGAATTGCCCACTTCTTATGTTTTGTGTTTTTTAAATAAAATATAATATGTATTTATTCCTTGAAAATTTCATATAGTTGTACAATGCATTTTGATCATATTCATCATCAACTACCTCTTTGTAACTTCCCCCAGGAGCTCCCAGTCCATTACTATTTCAACTTCATGTTATTTAAAAATAATTACTATTATTATTATTGCCCCTTCAATCCAATTAGTGCTGTCCACATGTGCATGGATATGAAACTATCCATTGTAGTATGAGTAGCCTACCAGGGAATGCACCCCTAAAGAAAATTGGTTCTCCTTCCCTCAATTAGCCATCAACTGCCAACTGATCCTTTACTAGGAATAGGGCCCCAGAAGTCCGTAATTCTATTCATGCTGGAATTCTGATGAGCTTGATCTAGTGGAGGACTTGTGTAGGCAACCAGAGCCATATAAGGTCCTTTTTATCTGTTCTCAAGGAAGCATGGGTACAAGACACCAGTGGCAACTTTCAGATAGGGAAGCCCTTGAACAGGAGCTGTGAGTAACATGTGTTTGGAAATGCCAACTGTCCAGTAAAGGATACAAAGTCAATACCCTAACAGAGCCCTAGATGCCAATTAAAATCGAACTCCTTTCATGTAGAAACTACAACCAATGAAAATAAATTCTTCCTTTAAAACACCCAAGGTTTCAAAAGCTCCATTAAATATGATTTCATTTTTTAAATAATCCATCCTATATTATTTTATTATTCTTTGGTGAAGGAATTTTTAATGGTGTTTCTGATATGTTAAAAAACAAAATCTTTCTTTTTAAATTAGAAGTGAGTAGAGAAAATGTATAGCTCAATAAAAACTATAAAAAGAAGAAAATTTATTGAAAATAGATTCCTCATACAATACATCTCAACCACAGTTTCCCCCATTGTTCTCCTCCCAGCTCCCCCGACCTCCCCTTTTCCCCAAGGACTAATGCCCCTCCATTTCCTCTTCAGAAAAGAGCAGTCCTCCAAGAGATGACAGCCAAACAAGAGAAAATAAGACACAATAAGACACAGCAAACCCCTTCTCTCAAGGCTGGACAAAGCAACTCAGTATTAAGAAAGGAGTCTCAAGAGCAGGCGAAAGAGCCAGAGAAACACCTGCTCCCATTGTTAGAAGTCTCACAAAACATCAAGCTAATATATGTTACATATATGCAGAGGACCTGTTGCAGACCAATGCAGTCTCTGTGTTTGCCCTTTCTGTCTCTGTGAGCCCATGTGAGAAGAGGCAGAGGATTCTGTAGGAGTCAGAGGAGATAGAGAACAGCAGGAGAGCATGGTCC